CTTGAGCCACAGGCGCCGAGCCTAGACAGTACATTCTATAAAAGTTGTCATCGATATGTACATGCATTTGGAATTTCCGTATTTTATCTATACCTAGTTATCATATAGGTGTTCTTTCCCTGAACTTTTAAACTCTTGAACAGAACACAAGCTCCCCAAGGGTGTCTGTGTTTTTGTAGCCTCCACGGAACCTAGGATGGGGCTAAAACACGGCTGATAGCCAAATGCATGAAGACATGGAAATACACAACAGGAAGGATATTTTGCAACTATTGTCTTATCTTCTTTATGAAAAAAAAAATTAGCCCCTCAGCTTTATTCCTAGCATCAAATTATCTGGGAACCTGTAGTAGTATACTAATCGACCAGCTTGCTATGGACTCTATAAACTTCTATGCTATTTAAATACTGAGGCTAAAACTTTCAAATCAATCATTATATTCTATACCACTAAAGAGGTATTACTTATTCAGTGTAGCAGCTTTTAAAAAATGCTTTAAAATACTCCAATAAACATGAAAGAAAGATCAGCATTATTATGGAGGATTTATTCAAGGAGAGTTTTTAGGTTTAAAAAGAAAATCCTAGAGTATACGATCAGATAAATATGAAACTTAATGAGAATTTACCCACTTAACAAGCATTAGTTCAAATCTAAGATAATGAACAGAATATTTACTAAATGTTAGAGAATAAAAATCCTTTTTGCGCTTTCATCAAATCCCTAGACAAGTTGTGTGGGCACAGGACAGAAGCGGAATATGGAAGAAAAGCTCTTACCAGGCTTTTCTTTAAGTGCAAAACATAAGCTCTGAGGTTTGATTGCAAATGCCTTTTTAAATAAACAGTAATTCTTATGATTCCCACCTATTCTGGCATGCATTATGTTATGGGTAATGAGAAGTTATATTGACAATGCCCAAAGTTATACATTTAACAAAAGAACAGAATTAAAACTCAGAACCCCCCCACTCAAAGCAGGGCTATTCCTTCCTAATTAGCCTATAAAATTACTTTACTGATACTTTATTTCCAGATCTCAAAAACTAAACTGGCTTATTTCTAGCATAATTATCTATAAAATGAAGGTAATTAAGACTTAAAACAGGCTTTTAAAAAAGCAGACAGATTGGAAACAACTTTTTACATGTTTAACAGCTCATTTTAGTTGAAAAAGTGAAAGGGTGGTAAGGAATGTTTGCATATATATTAATGACTAGGCATTATGCCAAGGGCTTGGTATACAGAGCTTCTAGAAACCTCCACAACAGCTTTACATATATGATCATCCATATTTTAAAATAAATAAGCTCAGGGAAGTTAAATGATGTGTGAAGTATCACTCAACTAATAAGATGACAGAGTGAGAATTAAAATCTAGGCCTGTTGGATTGTGTGCTGCTTTTAATCCATCACACCAACTATGACTAGGAAACTCTGTCTCTTATCCCTGGGATAAGACTACATTACCCTGGGACGTGAACCTCTCAGAGCCTCAACCTCTTAACCCCACTTAGTGACAATAATATTAACCCCATGTATTTCTTAATATTGTTGTAATAAGAGAACATTGAAAAATTAAAATTTGAAAATTAACTTTGAAGACTAATTTAACAATATCTAATTATTACTAGATGTTGCTGTATAACTCAGGTCAGAAAATTAGACATCAAAGACTCCTAGTTATTATTCCACGTAAAGTAGATTGAGGACAAAAATTATTTCTTCAGGCATCTCTTAGTGTGCTCTCTGAATAATTTACTAGGGAAACATCTAAACTGTATAAAGTTGCCATCTATAGTCTGAAAACTGAGGCTTTTCTCAAGCTCCTATAAAGCCTAAATAGGTAAGTTCTGTATAGATACACAAAGGTTATTCTCGTTAGTTGGGTCCAAATACTAAGCAGCAGAGGAGAGAAACTACTCTTCTCCGGAAAGTGGAAAAATGAAACCAAGTTCTGAAAATTTCTCTAGACAATGGAAGTCACCTTTCTACAACTTTAAATGAGCACACACCATCTAAAACTTTATTTTCCATCTTTTGCAACTATTTTTTTTTTTTTTGAGACAGAGCCTCAAGCTATCCCCCTGGGTAGAGTGCCATGGCATCACAGCTCACAGCAACCTCCAACTCCTGG